AGTTGAGCCTTTTATTGCATGAACTCCAAAATTTCAAGAGCTTTAATCATGGTTGTTTCAACTATCCATTTAAAACTCTTGGTCATACATCGTCTATAGAGAGAGTGATGAAAACTAAAAAAAAGTGACAAATATTCCAAGAAGTTGACAAAATCTCAAAAAAAGTGACAACAATAGCTTCATATGTTCATGTCAAAATGCTTAATAGAGGATGAATCATGCCCAACTATGACCAAAGTACATCATGCTATCCCCTTTTTCCAACATTGTACAGTTGCTTCACTAAGCTACTATAATTTTGAAGGGAAACAACATTGAAAATGGCTCAACTATCTAATTGCTAAGGAATGGAGATAGGGATAACAACGTAGAAACTACATTATTCACAGATAGTCATAACACTAAAAAAAAAAAAAAAAAAAAAAAGAGCGTGTGCATATGCTCTTTTTAGAAACACGGAAATAAATTCTTCTAAAAATACAGAGTACAACACCCCATTTTAATCATCACAAAACACAAATACAACTTCGTTGTTCACAAACGGCTATAACCAAAGGAAAAGAGCATTGATACGCTCTTTTTACGAACACAGAGAAAATGGGGCACAATGGGAAATTTATGCGAACACCAAGAATGAAAATCAAAAAGTTCAGTTCTCATAAAAAGCCGTTTCACTTGTGGTATTAAACAAATATAACCACCACGGTGATAAAGATGGCTGATGAATGCGAGTAAAACATGAGAACTAGCAAATGATCCTATTTAAAAAATAACAAGAGCAACAAAACCTCGTATAAACATCAGTAAATTAACAAGAACCTTGTATTAGAGGTACTTCAAAGAAATCCAATGCGATAAAAAATAAAAAATTAAGCCATAGAAAATTGAATTTTAATTAACAATCAAATGCATACATATACGTACCTCATTCATAAAGGAGACTGTTGGGTTTTTTGATACCCAATAATCCGGGCGATGATTTAAAACAGTTGTTGGATTATTTATCGACACCATGGACTTGGCGCGGCTCGGAGATGAACTACACTTTTGGATGGTTCAGGTTTGGATTGGATGATTATTTGGTTAGTTGGACCATTTAGTGATCCATATGAAGTTGAATATTGGCCCATTAGTTTAAGTTAATTGGTTGCCCACTTAGTGAACCCTAGGTCCAATTAGAGTAAGCTAAACTAAAATATATATATATCTCCCAACCATTTTTGGGGTGTCTGTGTTGTAGCAATGGAGAGGAGAGTTGAGAGAAGAGAGGCAGCCGAGAAAGAGAGGGAAGTCATGTGAGGTTGTAAGAAAGATTCAACCATTGTGATATCTTTTTCTTCCTCTCCATACCTTTGTGAATTTCTAACACCACCACCCTTCTCCTTTGTGGGGTTTGAGAGAGTTTGAGAAGTCCAAAGTAAAGACGAAAGTCTCGGGTCGAGTCGAGGTAAATCGATGTTCGTTTGATTGTTTTCTGAGCCCGAAATCAAGATTTATCGAGGGATTTTCGCTATAAGTGGTATCAGAGCTTGTGTTGTTGATAAATCTGTGATTTTTGGGGCTAAAAAGGGGATGGAAGTGGTCAGAAACGGATCTGTAAATCAAAGGCAGAAACTGTTCGATTTTTTCAATTTTCTACCGGATCTGTTTTGGTGTTTTCTAGTGAAACCAAAAGGAGTTTGGAGAAACGGACACCACCATTGAACTGTGCAAGTGGAGACAGTTCAGAAAGGTTGGGGCGTTGCTGTTGACTTTAGGTTGAACGATGATATTCCTAAAGTGGTGAATTCGCATGTCTCGATATTTACGGACCTTCAAATGTGGTCCGCTCGGTATCGTATTCTTTGCTTTTTATTATTGCAGTTGAAATAAATGTGTAGAGTAATTTATTTTTTGCATTAGAGGTCATCGTGTGGGGTGATATTAGGTTTGGGGTTATCATGAAGGGATAATCATTGCCTGTTGCTAAACCTAGGAATTATTTGTTAATTATTTGCCTTAAATTCTTTGTGAATTTGCTGTCAATTTTTCTACATTATTAGAATTGCATGTGGTCTTAAGAAAGTTTACTGGACTATTCTATGTAAATTATGTTCATACTTTACTTATGATCATTATTTGGCATTGGTGGCAAATGTAGGTCTAAGGTAAGTGCGAAAAATAACATATATTTTAACTGTGGTAAAATTTGGACATAGTTGAAAGAAATTGTCCTAAGATGATAATAAAAGGAAAGATGAGGATAGAGACAAGGCGAATGTGACTTTAGGGTCGAGTAGTGATCCTAGTGAGGTTTATTAAGAGAATAAACCTAGTTCTTGCATTGCATCTGTGTGTAATCCTTTCTGCATGTATATGATCACTTAATTATGTTGCAATGTTGATGTTACACTTTCAATATATTTGATGTGTGTAATTGCATGAATTAGTGTGACTTATTACATTGTGTAATATGTTTACATGCATAGTGAGTTGAGATTTATGGCGTACTCTATTTGCTCTATGAGTGGTGTGAGAGTGTGGTAGTAAGAAGAAAGTTGGGCATCTGTTTCTCTCCTTTATCTTTGTGAGCCTGTGTGGTTTGTGAGATTATGTGAGACAGTCATGTTAGGGTTACCTTCTTTATCTGTGAGCCTCCTTTGTGAGTGTTGTGAAGTAACCGACTCTTTCTTCGATTTTTCTTTGTAAGTGCCACCTTCGTCGTTTTCTTTGTGAATTTTTTGGGAGCATTGGTGAGTGGATTAACCTTTGTGGTCACCAAAAGGTATTGTTTTGCCATAGTGAGTTTGAGATGCATTAGCAGTGAGGTGGATGTCTTTTGGTAAGGTGGAGTATAGATGTCTAGAGGTGCATTGGTGATATGCACGAGGGATGTAGAGTGTGACATTTGGATCACGAGTGAATATGTGATCAAATGTGTAGAATTCTTTATCTGTGAAAGAGACCCTGTACAGGTGGAATGTGAGAGAGGCACTTCTATCACTTCTATAAGGTAGAGTCCCATTATCCACATAGATTGGAAGAAGTGATGTGGTGATAGAGGATTATCCTGAGAGTTTAGGATCTATTGTGACTTACCAGTTAGACATGAGTTGAGTGATCTGTTTAGTGAGCATGGTGAGCGATGAGAGGAGATATATGTTCTCGAGGTGTGAGCAACACAGAATGGGATAGGATAAGTGTGGTGAGATCTTTTCTTAGGGTCATTTATGCATGTGTTGCATATGTGGTTGACCGTGGTTTGATTAACTAGGTGTTAATCTGTGGTTTTGTGTGAATGTGATTTTGAAAAGATCTCTGTGTGTGTGTTATCCTATATATCTTCATCGCATAATTATTTGTTCACTATGAATACTTGTTTCTACTTGGGTATTCTTGACCTTAGCCCTGGTGAGTACATGGAGCAAGTATCGTATGTGTTTCAGGTTGGAAACATGAGGTAAGGTCTGTTATTCCAATTTTATTGGATTATCTTGATTGTGCAAGTATAAACTGTGTATTTTGGTTGCTTGTAGATTATTAGGCATCAAGGTGGAGATTGTTGGGTTTTTTGATACCCAATAATCCGGGCGATGATTTAAAATAGTTGTCGGATTATTTATCGACACCATGGACTTGGCTCGGCTCGGAGATGAACTACACTTTTGGATGATTCGGGTTTGGGTTGGATGATTATTTGGTTAGTTGGACCATTTAGTGATTAATATGGAGTTGAATATTGGCCCATTAGTTTACGTTAATTGGTAGCCCACTTAGTGAACCCTAGACCCAATTAGAGTGACCTAAACTAACCTATATATATGTATTGATCTCCCAGCCGTTTTTGGTGTGTGTGTGTGTGTTGTGGCAATGGAGAGGAGAGTTGAGAGAAGAGAGGCAGCCGAGAGAGAGAGGGAAGCTATGTGAGGTTATGAGAGAGATTCAATTATTGTGATATCTTCTTCTTCCTTTCCATACCTTTGTGGATTGTTAACACTACCACCCTTTTCCTTTGTGGGGTTTGAGAGAGTTTGGGCAGTCCAAAGTGAAGGCGAAAGTCTCGTGTTGAGTCGAGGTAAACCAGTGTTCGTTTGATTGTTTTCTGAGCCCAGAATCAAGATTTATCGCGGGATTTCCGCTACAGAGACTTCTAATATTTTAATCAAAGATTTAAAACCCATTCCTCGTTCCAATTACAAACCCAAAATGAATTATAAATTCATTTAATTCGGCAAAATAAATAAATTTAAAATCCGTATTGGGTGAGGAGAAGCGGAGCCGTGGTCGAGGATCAGGCGAGGAGTTGTCACATGGTTGAGGATTTATCTTTCCTGTAATTGGGAGTTATCTGAAATCGGCAATCGGGGGTTTGATTTGGGCTTTGGAGTTTTGGGGGTTTATAACTTAATCAATACGTGGTTAAAGGTTAAAGGTTAAAATAAGTTAACAGAGTACTCTTCAATTTCTTTAATTTTGGAAGGCAACTGGTCTAATTTCCCATTAACTAATTACTGAAACTGCCACATTGACATTGAATATTCAGCAACCTATAACCATCGGAGATTCTTTCACCATAGGAAGTCCTATTCACTTAATAGTGTGAGACTGATTTGTAAAGTGTATTTTAGTCACCTTCATAAAAGAGAATGAATTTGGGTTATATACACACTACACCAATAATAGGCGCTTTTGCAGTGGTCAAAAAACACTGTCAAAAGCCTTTCGCAGCATTCGAATGTACGTTGCGGGGGTTGATGTTGCCACAGAGTTGAAGGATACGGCAGTATTTTTTAAACATTGTGAATAACCTTTTTCCAGCATTTTTTGAACGTTGCGACTAACTTTTTTGAAACATTTTTTGAATGTTGTGAGTAACCTTTCGCAGTGGTTTTTAAACGTTGCAAATAACCTATTTGCAACGTTTTCTGAATGTTTCGAACAATCTTTATGCAATATTTTTTGAATGTTGCCAAGTTTTGTTTGAGCATTAATTTATGCATATTGAATTGCAAAATCAAGGATAAATTCAAATACACAAATTTTTGAATTGCATAAAATTGATAATTTCATTACAAATTTTTGAATCATACACTAAAACATTAAATGTGACAATTTCTCTCGTTGCTTGATGTCTAGTTCTTCCACCAATTTAGGCTTCGCTTCCAATTCTACCTCAAATGAAGACTTCCTCATTGTCAATAACGTTTCTTGATTTTCCATTGCTTGATGAATAATATCCTGCATATGAATCAAGGGTAAATGAGATAAGAATAATTAAATAATGTGAGCGCTCCTGCACAAAAAATTTGTATAGGATCCATCTTTATCACCTCTATTGATGATAGAGGGGTATCTGTCACATAAGGTGCCACAGCACCAGCCCCTCCCAATCTACTCATGCTCAACACCTGCAAGGTTGATGATTTAAACAAGCAGAAATGTGTATGATATTCACTGGTGCAAGAAATTCTTTAGATCTCATTTTAGACACTCCATTTCTGGAAATGAAGGGATGTCAGCAGAGAAATCTCTATCAAATGATTTCTAACATTTCCAGTGTTTATTAAGGGGCAGCATCAAGCCTCTCAAAGTCAATATCATTCACTGAGTACCTATGCAACTAAAGTCATAGAATTCAGAACAACTTCTCTAGAAGCTATTTTCAGCCAAAAGACCAGGGTGTAGAACTTCAAAATCGAACACAATAATCCAACAATAACTACTCCCTTAGAACAAAACTATGTAAAGACTACAGGATTAAGGCATAAGCATTCGCATATGAGATTATGATTATGATTAAGGTTCAAGTTGGCCATAAATATAATAAAAGAAAAGAAGTCTGCCTACAAATGTCAGCTGGTTTATGTTCATCACATGCTATTTGAGCATTGGTTCTAAATTCATAAAAATGCTTCAACAATTTATGAAATCGGTAACAGTGCATGAAATCATATGCATATCGCAAGGTGTGCAACCACAATATATTTTAGCATCTTATATGAAGTATCCTACTTTACTCTTCTATGAAATATACTGAATTTCACAGGAATAACAACTGCACAAATTAAAATATATTCAGCTCAACTTCATATTTGTTTACCTTCACTTGAAGTCTCAGGAACTTCACATAATCCACAATCTCCTCGACCATCACTGCTCTGTCAGTCTGCATAAAAGTTTAACTAAAATGTGTGAACAAAGACTCTTTATACAACCAAATGACCGTTATCCTAATGCAATTGAGAATAAGACAGGCTAAGGAAAATATTAAGTCCTTCATTATCTTTCCCTAAACAGAATTCAGCAAAATGGCCAAACTAATCTTTCATTAATTAGCAATACAAGTAAAAATATTATTAATTAAATTAGAAATAGAGTGCAAACCATTCACTAGTTCTCTTCATGGCAGTGGAAACAGAGCAAGCCATCTTGCTTATAAATCAGAGCAAAAAATAGAACAACCAGCTAAAGATCCCTGAAGATGAGAATTTAACAAGATCAACCAAAACCCTGAAGATTTCAATTTCTCGTACCAACCAAATTTAACAAGATCAATTTCTCTAAATCATAAAGCCCCAAATTCCTAAATTAGAGATCCCCAAATTGAAAAATCCTAAATTGGAAAACACAATTAATTACTGGAACGAATAATCCCTAAATCAAAATTCAAAAACCTGGAAGAAAATGTTAACATAGTAACATAGCAAAGTGCAGACCGCAGAGTTCGGGCGAGGCGGGAGACGGCTGGAACTGTGCAGACGGTAGACGAGAGCAATGGATGAACTCAACTAATCAAGAAGCAAAGTGTAGACTTAGGAGTTTAGAAGAGTGAGTGAGAGAGAGAGAGAGAGAGTGTGTCACGCAGCCGAGGTGAGAAACGAGGAAATTAGTGAAAATGGCCGGTTCACCTATTTTCACTTTGTCCTTTTGACTGATTTAAAAAAAAAAAAAAAAATTTCATTTTAAAAATATCTCTCCACCTTCCTCACTCTCTGGATAGTTTTGAGAAAGAAATTCACTTTCATTGTCAGTCAACCGTCCAGACATCTTTCTCACCGTCAAACTTTCGATTGCCGACTATCTCATATTGTAAAGGTTAGTTTTTGTGGAGTTATAACTAGATTATTGGGTTTTGTTGAGTTTTAATTAGATTATTGGTTGGAATATTATATTTGTGGTGTGAAATGCATGATTTACGTTAGATTTGTGTATAGATGAAGTGTATTGGCTTATTTTTATTGTATGGGAAGCTCCAACTCACCGAAAATCAGCCGGAAATGGTGGATTCCGACGAGAAGGAGCGTTCGGCTATTGACAGCCGGTCGATTGGCTGCTAACCGACCGTTAGAACAGGCGATTCTAACCGGCCCCCTTTTTCATTTCCTAAATTAATTTAAATCATTAAATGTTTGGAATTTTTAATTAAATAATATTTTTTAATTTATCAAATTTAAAGAAATTTATTATTCTAAAATTAATTTTTTAATTCTAATTTTAACTTTTTATTTGAAATTTAGTTTTAAATTTTTATTTTAAATTTAAATTTTCATTTAAATTTAAATTTAAATTTAAAGAAATTTGTTATTTTCAAATTAGTTTTATAATTCTAATTTTAATTTTTTATTTTAAATTTAATTATATTTTTTACTTTATTTTAAATTTAAATTTTCATTTTAGTTATAATTTTAATTTAAAGAAAATTGTTATTTTAAAATTAATTTTCAAATTACTTTTTTAATCCTAATTTTAACTTTTTATTTTTAATTTAATTTAAATTTTTTATTTTATTTTAGATTTAAATTTTCATTTTAGTTATAATTTTAATTTAAAGAAATTTGTTATTTTAAAATTAATATTCAAAATATTTTTTAAATTCTAATTTTAACTTTTTACTTTAAATTTAATTGTAATTGTAATTTTCATTTTCATTTTCATTTAAATTTTAAATTTTATTTTTATGGTAATTATTAATTTTCTATAATACTGTAAAAAATTCATATTATTAATTTTTGGTAAGAGTGAAAATTTTCATGAATCTATGTCTTGCGTATAGTAGTTACGATTCAGTTCACTTAATTTTGGGTTATTATGCTTCATTCCATTATTTCATGTACAATGTTCTAATATTTTATTTCAATTTTTGCAGGATAGATTATCATCTGGATGCAGAGCTGAGACAGATGCCGAGAAAAGTTACATAGAACAGTAACTTTGATAGCTTCACCCAGGCCTGGAGCGACTTGACGACCAGCATGTAGATATGTTGCGTCAGTCATTTCTGTAGCCTCTATACCCTATGAGAGAGTTGCAGTATTTGGGTTAAATGATCAACGCTCTTTTATGTCGGTTGCTGAATCCAGTTGACTGCGATGCCCTCCACTTCGACCTTGGGGGCAGAGTCATCAGCTTTTCCTTGTTCAAGTTTGTCCTGTTGACTGGATTGAAGATTATGGATGATGAGGCAGCTAGCGGTGAGACTCGGAGACGAAATAGGCTTAAGGACACTTACTTTCATAGACAGGACGGTGGTTCTGCCTCAGCTGATGGACGGGATCAGGAGGTGTCACGAGATGTTGGACAAACTGAAGTTAGGTTTGGTCTACATCATTGAGAGCGTGATGCGATGTCACCACAAGAAGACTGTGATCGATATCTTCCACCTGGAAATCGTCGACGACATAGATTGCTTCAACAGCTATCCATGGGGCTGTCGATGTTTCGAGAACATCGTCCACATCTTCACCAGACCGCACTTGAAGCCCAAGGGGCCCGTGCGTAAGTACGACACCTACAGATTCCCTTTGGCGCTGCAGGTAAATGATTAACACAATCCATATTAAAATACTTTTCTATTGAATTTGTATGTACTAATTTATGTGTTGCAGATCTGGGCGTATGAGGCCATCCCCATATTGGCCCCTTTTGCGCGGCAAGGGGAGACACGTTGCCCTCATATGTCAATATGTCATTACATTATTTTATCTTTTTAAAATGTCAATATGTCAGCTTGAAGTAATAACTCATTTGACGCCGTCGATGGAGGAGAAGGCGTAGGATCTTGTGCGTGAAATAGCAGTTTCGTACACCCAAGATAACCAAATATTCGATTCGATCCCCGATAGAGACTGGGTAGTGAATTATTGATTAATATTTTGTATGAGTTAGCAATTATTGAATAAGTTAATAATATGTAAGTTTGTGCAGGACCGCGGGCCAGTTGATCGGATATTACCTCTGTCGTCGGGACCACCTCCTCCCCCTCAGGGTGATTATTCTGATGATCTATACCATCGCCTGATTGGATTTATGGTACAGAACATCGGTGCGCTACGTCGAGAGCTGGTAGGAGTTATATCAGAGGAGGTCGGCGCGCTACGTTGAGATATGGTAGAGCAGGTCGACGATCTGGGACGCCAGTTGGTAGGGAGGATCGAGGATATAGCTGATGATGTTAGAGTATTGCGTAGGCATTTAGGGGACCTTTAGGATGAGGTGTAGCAGCCAAGGTGATACAGCAGGAAGACGATGGGGTGACGGAGGTGAAGACCGAGGGGTGATCGAGAGGATAGAGATGGGGGTCGCCATCAGTCGCGGTCGGAGGATGCATTGGAATCTTTTCTTCAGTCCATGGAGGATTGGATGGCCCCGACAACGGAGGAGGGGGTAGCCTCGATGGCGGAGTTCGAATGAAGCGTTGACATTGAGTACCAGTAGCTCCAACATGCCAGCAAGGAGTACATAGTGCCTGACTACATGCTCGAGTGGATCATAAGGATGTGGCCACGTGTTGGGGGGAAGCCATGGAAGGGTTGTACACATATGTACATACCAGTGGTCATGAATTATCACTGCATAGCCTTGGAGATTGTGTTCGTTGAGTCTACTATATATGTGTACGACCCCAATCATTTATGTCAACACAATGTCAGCTTGAGCAAAATCTAGAGTCCATTGCTATTTTTTACCCTATGATGACTAGACAAGCAAAATTAACTGTGAAGGACAGATTAGCCGTCGTGCCGGACACGACGATGATGAGGCAGACAATATCGTAAGTGGTTCTAAAATTTTTAAAATTTAATACTTAATTTTTTTTGTTGCATGATACTGATCTAGCTCATTATTGTTCATTTGCAGGGGTGATTGTGCCATTTTTGCAATAAAAAGTACCTCGAATTTTTTAATATAGCACATAAGGTTGATAGAATCAACCAATCTTGAATACAGAATTGGCGAAACAAACTGGCATGCAACTTATTCTACTTTGATGGTGACCCATAGATTTATTGTAATTATTAGTTGTATTTTTTTGTAATTACGAAATAATTGTAAACACTGTAAATATTGATTTTTTGTAGTTACGAAATGTTTGTAAACACTGTAATTGATTATTAAATTATGACATCCTTTGAAATATCATAGAATAAATGGAAACATTGTTTATTTCAGATGAACAATATTACCAAATGATCTAATTGTCATTTAGAGGAATATGACTTGTACAATATTGGCGAGTTTGCCCTACTGATTTGCACCGACTACACCTACGCGGTCAAAAAACTTCTCCGGTAGATGGTATTCTAGACGTACTTGGATGTCCAGAACCATGCATTCAATGAGAGGTAGCAACAATGTATTGAGTGGGTGAATATGGTCGGGGACTTCCCATTCAACTTCGTTCGACAGAGAAAATATTGCCTCAGCTTACGCAGCTCTCCAGTAATCAGTTGTGTAATAATGAGAACACAACGTTTTAGCTGCAAATCCTTAATACATATCAACCGCGACTGTATGCTCACATGGAAAAGTCTCCAACCGAAATTTTTTACAAGTGCATGTGTTATCAGTCAAGTCCATCATGTATGTCGTATTACGTGCACATTCCACTGAGAAGTGTGACTCGTCTAGTGGTTCGACATTCAACTGTCTCGCAAGTTCTGCAGTTTTGAACAGCATGTCCTCTTGTGCCAGCGCTAGCACGCTAATGCAATTTTGTGATTCCGCACGTCAATCGTGAAACCACTGCTGCAGCTTGGTATGGATGTTCTCAATCAGCGCAATGATGGGTAATTCTCGATCATTATTGAATAATGCATTGAGAGACTCCGCGTTATTTGACGTCATCATGTTGTATCGAAGTCCTAAAAAAATGAGCGCGCCTAATGTTCAATCCTCATTTTCGTTAGATAATTCCATGCATCGAATGATTTACTTCCTATTCCAACCATGAACTTATTATACTCTTCAACACTGTAGGCTTTAGCCACTCTCCTGAACAATGAAACGATACGATTGTCCCGATACCTAGTCTTCAGATTGCCTTGAATATGGTACATGCAATACCCATGATGTGCATCTGAAAAAACTTCAGCAATATCATTTATTAAAGGCTGTCCCCGATCGATTACAAATGCAAGGTCTTCGACTTCCCCAATTACTTCTCTTCTCACTATCAAATATGCAGAACACAAGAGGGTAAATTTGGGTGTTGGCATCTTGACATGTAGGAATAATCAACTTGCCTTGATATTTAAATTTCAGTGTTGTACCATCAATTAGAATTAGGGGTCACATTGCATTTCGAAATTTTCGAATGCATTATCCAAGAACTATGAAGAAGAATTTGAAGCAATTCCCACCCTCTCTCTCAATAAAAAATTTCGAGCCAGGATTAGTT